TGCTGAACAATCTTGGCTGATCCAGGCTGGCAGCTCTCAACACATCTGGAATGGGGCAACATCTGGCAATGATGACAAGGAGGGTGGGAAATGAGCTCTTTCCTCGTTGTTGCTATAAATGTCAACTTCGTCTCTTAAAACCTGAGCATTTTCTGTGTCAGTCAAGCAAATAATAATGGTCCATCTGGTTCTCTAGCTGCTTTGTTTGCTCCTCATACCAATTTACCTGATTTCCACCCTCACAATTCATCACCCCCCATTTGAGCCCTCTATCTTATAAGAACATAAGAGAGCATAAGAGAAGCCATGTTGGATCAGGCCAGTGGCCCATCCAGTCCAACACTCTGCATCACATAGTGGCCAAAACCCAGGTGCCATCAGGAGGTCCACTAGCAGGGTCAGAACTCCAAAAGCCCTCCCACTGTGCCCCCCCCAAGCACCAAGAATACAGAGTGTTGCCGCCCCAGACATAGTGTATGTCGTGATTAATAGCCACTGATGGACCTCTGCTCCATATGCTTATCCAATCCCCTCTTGAATCTGTCTATGCTTTTAGCCACCGCCACATCCCACGGCGGTGAATTCTCATCCTTTGCAACTTTGCATTTCCACTTTGGGATCCTTCATTCTCCAACATTTGCCTTGCTACTAAATAAATAAGCAAATACCCTAATCTGAAGCAATAACAGGTCCCAGTGAGAACTTTTGGATCATTATATAATTAGCTCGACATGAACTTATAATTACATCCAGTGGCGAGGTGCATGTGAATAGAACATGCATAGATAATTCATGATAAAATGTCTGCACTCCATCGCAGCTCTGGAGTTTTAGAATAATGACTCTTTCATTCTGAACAGAAACATCCATGGCCATTGCGTTATATTTCCATGCAGTATTAAACTAGGCATTGGGGATTTCTGGAAAGTGGATCCCAGGATGGCAAATCCAACACGTGTTCTTAGCTCAGCTTTTATAATCCTGGTTCAGAATACTTTACGCATGGTGGAGGAGTAAGATTGTGATTGTATGGACACTAGGACTGTAGGAACAGTAGGATTCTACAAGCAAGGGACCTGCAGGGACTTGCAGACAGCATCACATTTTCCTCTCCTCCACTATGTCCCTTCCCGGAAAGTCCCCATAGCATCTTCCAAATCTCCATTTCTACTTGTGTCTGATTAAAGGAGCTTTGACTCTTGAACGTTCACCCCCTGGAAATCTTGTTGGTCTCTAAAGGTGCAGCTGGGCTAAAATCTGACTGTTCTACTGCAGACCAACACGGCTACCCTCTGGAACAATCCTGATTTCACGATTCCTTCTCTCAGGGGTCGTTTCGTAGAAAAAGAGCTAGGGGAACTCATTAGCATAACTCATTCGCATATGCCACACCCCCTGACATCACCGGAAGTGTGTCATGAGGCCACACACCCTGACATCACCGGAAGTGTGTCATAAGGCCACACACCCCGCCCCCATCGGTCCCGGCTGCCGCCGCTGGCCTTGCACCTCTACTGCCAAGCCCCATGAAGGGCCCGGCGGTGGACCTGCAAGGCCGGTGGGAGTGCAAGGAAGCCCCGCGAAGGCCCTCCCTGGCCCCAGGCAGGCAGGGGTGGGGAGAGGCAGGGAGGAAGCAACTTACCCTCCCTCTTCTCCTGCCTCCTCCTGGATGAATGAGGGCCGGAAGCGAGGCGGCCGGAAGTGGGGGGCGGGGCTTCGTCGTGTGCCCCGCCCCCCGTACCTCACCCGGGGGAACTGCGATCCCCCCTGAAATGACCTCTGCCTTCTCTTGTTCCCACCTGCCAGTCAACCTATACTCTTATCTGCCCTTCTGTCTTCAGTTTTTCCTCCTTCCCTCTCCGTCAGCCTCTCCCTGGGCAAAGTCTGGCCAAGCGGTGCAGCACCAGCCCATCCTCTGGGCTGAGCCAAGCTGCATGATAGATAACCTGCAAGAATTTGTTGGGGGCACCTTACTTTCCCCTGTATCCGTCTACTCACGCTATTTATCTGCTCCTGGTAGCCCCCATATTCTCAACTTGCCCTGTTTTTTTCTCTCCTTCCTACACAACAGCCAACGTACCATTTATCTTTCCCCCCCCCCATTTTCAGCTATAATAGTCTTCATTTAGGCCCCAACTTTGTCGACAGTGGGAACCCAAAGCCTCTTAAATCATTCTCCTCTCCTCCGTGTTATCCCCACAGCAGCCCTGTGAGGTAGGTTCAGCTGAGAGTGTATGAGTAGCCCAAAGTCACCCATGAGTTTCAACTGCAGAGTTTGTGTGACTGGATTCCTGTGTTACTAAGCTGCGATTATTATGGTGTAGGAAACGGATAATCAAGGCTTTCTGCAGCGATATCCTACTTTTGACATATTGCTCTCAAAGATATCAACGTCCCAATCATTCTTATTGATTTCATATTCTAACATGTATAATTCAGTTTACAAAACTATTCACACCTGCTTAAACTTTTGATTCCACACAATGGTACTTGCATTAATGGCAAACTCTAGGCCCACAGGAGCTTGGGGGTCCATCCTTCCAACTCGGACTCTCTGGAAGGATCCGTTGAGGAATGTGAGAAAGTTCATGATATCGTACCCAGCTGCCAGTTCCCCATTTTCATCAAAAATACTTCCTCCCCTGCGTTATTGTTAAACCGGACATTTCTCAGG